CGCTTGATAAAACTTATTACTTGTATTATCACCTTTGAAATTCTAAATAATATACAAAACTTAGTGAAGTTATTGGATGTCATTCTAGCTCGTCACAACAAGAACACACGTTATCTACCTTTAGTGATAAATCTTAGTCTCTCCCATTATAAAAACTTAATCTTTTTCGCTCTTATTGTAATAAAACACGTGATTAATATGTCAAGAACTTAATATCAATAAAAACGGTAACAATATATAAATATAAAACATTTAAAAAAAGATTTGTCTAACTTTTACTTGTATTCTGATTATATTCAAAAAAATATAAAAAAGATACATCTAACTTTCACTTATATTTTGATTATATTTCGAAAAAATATAAAAAAGATCCATTCAAATTTTATTTATATTCCTATAAATCAGATTATTTTTTATAAAATATCTGACTATATTTCAGAAAGTTTCTAAAAATTTGTTAACAAAACTATTGAATTTTTGGATTTGAGTTGGATATTAAAAAGTAGAAAAAATTTCAAAAATTTTCAGATTCAAAAATCAGAAATTTTCAGGATCAAAGATAATCTGTTTTTTTTTATAGAATCACTATATGGATGTGTACCAAAAAGACTTGACAAGTCAAGCAACAAAATTTGCAGTTAAAAAATACTGTTTTATATATTTAATAAATTAGTTAATTTAGTATCACACTAAAAAGCTGGTGTTACAATTAGAAAAAGTTTAATTAACATATTATTTTTAAATTAGCCAATCAGCAATGAACATGATCATATATGTTAATCACATGTAAATGATCAAATTATTAGTTTAATAGTAAAATTGTTCAACTTTAAATCACTACTGTTTTATTAAAAATTATTTTACAGAAAATTTGAAAACATAACATTGTTTAACTTGAATAGCTTTATCATTCTGTAAGTTTAGTGATTGGAACTAAGTTGTACACACTGTATTACCATAGAAGCTTTCCGGACATACACAAATTTCACATGATCCGACCCTTTTCTTCGCCATGGCTAGGGTATTATGCGACTGCATTGTGATAGGAATTAACAAAAATGGTTCTATTATGAAATAACTTTCATTTTTTTAGTATTAAAGTTTGAAGGCATTAAATGTTTACCATAAGTTGTCTTTCTTTAGTTATATTTTATTTTAATAGGGTCAAAACTTTTAGGCACCTTTCCAAGTAATCGAAATTATTCAATAAGAATAGGTTTACTTCTAGATGTTTACGAGGAAATCAAGAAAATGATTTAAACTTGGTTTTTAGGACTTGGATATCTTTTAAAATAATATCTTTGCTTTTTTTTTTCTAAAAAAGGATATCTCTTACTCGGATAAGAATAACCTAGTAAGCGCTATTTAAAATGCCGAGTATATTTGTGAAAAAGCTGGGCGCGTAAAGAATAATCAATTTAGGTCTCAATTATTGAAGCTTCCACGTATTCCCTTTTTTGACAGAATATTTTGCCGAAAAGCCGCTCGTGACTTTTATATTCGTATAAATACCTGCTTCGTACGTATTTTGAAATATTAAATAACTATACCATTAAACCAATACTCATTATTTGACAACAAAATGGTTAACTCCCCCTTACCAACAGATCTTGCAGGTAAGGTTGACTCGGGTTATTATGTCGGTTATGAAGAAACTGTAGTTTCACTCCTAAAACGTCTTTTAACATATTTAATAGGAGAATGCAGAAAAGCAGCAAAAATATTGAATAGCTTTATTGGTATATACTCTTATTCCCTTCTTTGTTTGCATAGCTCGACAAATTAAGCACTATTAACCTTATCTCTTTTCTTTAGACCCAATTGCCGCAAAAGTAGGAGTCTAATCAATAATTGTTGGATATCTATTGTTTTTTTGTGGGAAATAAACTTCTTTCCATAATAATTTAGGGACCCGATAAGGTTATTCCCGCAAATATTTTACAGAATGCAAAAGGATTCGCAATCTTTACTGTTATTAAGGCAGGATTTTTATTTTCGGGAAGAGCTGGATCTGGTTTGGTCGTTGCAAGGTACTTTACTCATTATAGAAATTATTTTGATGATTATTTTGATTCAAGAAAATCGATTAAACTTTATTTTACGTATCTTACGTAGACTTGATGATGGATGTAAGTAACTAATTAATTGAATAGTCAATATACTTTTTACGATTTCTAATTGAAATACTTGTGACATTTGATAGCTTGGTCCGCTCCCTCAGCAATCGGCACTGGTGGTATGGTTAGTATCTGCTCTTAAATTTTGATTTAGAACCAGATACTATTTTTAAATTATAATATTAATTTCGTATTTAAACAGGGATTTGGTGGACAAATTGGAGCCGAAGTTACAGATTTTGTGATTGTTTTGAATAGCAGAGATGCTGTAAAATCCTTCATGACTGGTGGTAATGTGACTTTGGGTGGCAACCTCTCAGGTAAAATATTAGTATAAATTATTGGAAACATAGTCAATGAATTTTAATATTATTTCTTTTGATTAGTTGCTGCTGGTCCTATTGGTAGAACGGCTGAAGGTGCAGGATCAGTATCTCGTGGACATGTTGCCGCTATATTTTCGTATAGGTATTTAAAGTGACTTCAATTATTTATGTGTTTAATTGAACGCTTCCTATTTCAATTAATTAAACTATGAATTGTTATAGTAAAACTAAAGGATTATTTGCAGGTAAATTATATATTTATAACTAGACTATTACTGAGAAAATCATGACATTAATAATAATAATATTAATGTATATAATGTTGACACTATTATTTGAATGTTTTAGGTGTCTCGATTGAGGGATCAGTCGTGATTGAGCGTAAAGATGCCAATGCAAAATTCTATCATCGTAAAGTCAGTGCCAAGGAACTTCTCTCAGGATCAGTCGCGCCCCCAGCTCAAGCAGATACGCTTTATCGTGCGCTCAACGCCAAAGCTTCGCGTACATCACAAGATTCTACAGCTACTGTAACACGGGGAGCAACCTCACGAAGTGGTGGTAGTAGCAATAATAACAATAGAAACAGATTGGCTCTTAGTACCAGTGAAACTAATAGATTCAGTCAACCACCTCCATATAACAGCATTGTAAACGATAATAAATCAGACGAAAATGGATCATCAGTGCAACGCTCGAGATCATTATCACATAACAACGACAATCTAAGCTATAAACCTCCGGTTGCTCTGAAACCCAGACCACGTGTTCCCAAACAACTTACCGCTATTGCATTATTTGATTTTGCCGGTGAGCAACCAGGTGATCTTGCGTTCAATAAAGGTGATGTAGTCACTATAATACAAAAATCTGATAGTGTTAATGATTGGTGGACTGGAACATGCAATGATGTTGAGGGGATCGTAAGTACCTTTTTTAACTCGATTCTAGCGTTTTTTGGATGCGAAACATATTTTCTAATTGTCATTCTTATTTTTCGCTTAGTTTCCCGCTAATTATGTTGAATTACAATAATTATTTTTATCAGATTCAGAAGTTTATAAAAATCTAATCCATTCCTCCCTAAAATATCTTTGATTAAGCTATTACACAATCTTTTTATATAATACCTCACAAACATTCATTATCTTAATAATATCTTAATCCACTCACGCTTACACCCTCCACAATTGTCGTACCAAATCAAAATCAATTGGGATAATCACAATTAAATATGTATATATTATTGAATCATTCATTCATTCAGATACGTACACGATATATTTTAGAGTTAACCAGAATATAAATTGATAGTATAAAGATTCATCATCTATATCAATGTCACCATCACACAGTTCCGTTCCATGGTACAAAAGTTCAAAAATGCCGGTTTATATATATCGAACGTCCGGTTTATTAACAATTGAGAGTGTCACTCTCTATCTTTACTTCAATTGGCTGATTGAAGAATGTCACGTTGTGTCACCATGCGTCAGCTAAATTTGAGACATGATCACCCTCCAACATTTCTATTATTTTTCGTATTATGACTGATTATTTTTATTAACGTTAATCATCGCAAGAAATAATCAACTATGACCTTACTCTTCCTACGTAATTACCATCCAATAACTATTTGTCGTAATAAAGTTAATTTTCATAATTTTCACCGAGTTTTACGGGATCGACTCCAGTATTCCACTAAATCAAATAATAATAATAAATCACGTATACAAAAATATATTATAACCGGATCTACATTATTTGCCACCGGATCCATTATCTATTTTTTTGTCTTGCCCAATCGTGATACTTTTAAATCATCCTCATTAATTCCAGCCAAATCTACCATATCATCCGATAAATTCACTGCAATTCCCGTACATCAAATTATACCACAATCAAAAACGACAAGTATTTTCAGATTAAAGCTACCAGCACCACTTCAAGGACCATTTCCTGTATCATCATGTGTCCATGTCAAGGATCCATCTTTGCAGATTATGAGACCGTATACACCGATTAGTCCGATTGTTAAAGACGATGAATTGGGGTACATCGATTTACTTGTGAAAAGATATGAGAATGGACAAGTATCAAAGTATATTCATGGTTTGAGCGTAGGTGATCATGCGGAGGTTAGAGGTCCAGTGCCGACGTTTCCGTATCGAGAGAATATGTATAAAGAATTGGGAATGGTAGATTGATCCTTTCTTAAAATTTTGAATTTTGAATTTTGATGATTGATGATAATCATAATATTTAACATTAATCTTTGAATATAGATTTGCGGTGGAACTGGAATCACACCAATGTTTGTATATAGTATAATATAAAATAATAAAACGGTATATTAACATCATCTTTTTTTTTAGGTATCAAATCATTAAGCACATATTAAACACCCCAAGTGACAAAACCAAAATCTCATTAATTTATGCGAATCAATCAATCGATGAAATACCATTACGTGAAGAACTCGATAAATTATCAATAAAGCATCCTGATCAATTCAAAATATATTATACAATTGATAATGCACCAGCATCATCTTCTAATTGGAACCAAGGTATTGGGTACATTACTAGTGAAATGATCAAACTAAATATGCCGTCGCCTCCTCCTCTTCCATCTTCATCATCTTCAAGTAATATCGATGATAAAGGAAATAGAGATGATGATAATAGTATATTGATTCTTGTTTGTGGACCAGATGGGTTAGTACTTGTTTCGTGCTACTTTTGATGGTTAATATTGTCTGAATAAAAATTTTCTAAATTATTTTTTCCACTATAGTCTAATGAATCATATTTCTGGACGAAAAGCGCGAGATAGGTCTCAAGGTCGTCTTAATGGAATTCTCGAAAAACTGGGCTATAATGAGAATCAAGTCTTCAAATTTTGAATGTTAATTCGATTTTTTTTATTGTTAAGATTTTTTTTTATTGTTAAGATTAGCATTATTTTGAATTTAAATGTTATTGCATATATATTAAATAAACAACGCGTTTACAAATTTACAAATTTTGAAGGATAAATAAATAAAGCCTATAAAGAAAACAAAAATAATTATTCACTGTCCGATTGCTCATTCACCCACTCTTCCAAATCAACTTTTTTCCGTTTAGCTGCTCGTCCATCACTTCCACCTTGTCGCATTGCAAAATCACGGCCAACTTTCTCACGTAATTCCTGCACATCGTCATCTCGTTCCACCGCAGCATATTCCAACACTAAATGCCGTCCCAGAAGATGAGTGGCACTCAGATTTTCCATGACGGTTTGTGCATCACGTTTTGTGAGAAATTCGATGAATGCAAACCCGCGCGAGGTGCCGTCGAATTTTTTTGGGACTCGAAGTGATTTAATTTGTCCGTATGCGCTGTTTTTTTTTTGTTTATAAACAATCATAAATCAAAAAGTAAAATCAAGGCATTAATATTTTAAAGAACTAACCTAAATAATTCCCGTAAATCTTTTTTTGTTGATTCGAATGCTAGATTTTTTACGATAATTTTAGTTGATACTTGTTTGTTCCCCGGGTCTTTTTTTTCTTTACGTTTTTTCGGGACTGAAGCTGCTACATGATTCGAGAACTTCAGCTGTAATGCATGACCGTCTAACACGTGATTCTAAACACAAAAGAAAGAACAAAGAAAAACCATTATTAAGATTATTTTACTAGAACAGAGAATGCCAGGAACTTTTCTCACATGGTGGATAAAAAATAAAATACCTGCATAAGTTTAAGCGCATTTTTTGCATTCTTCACATTATCAAACTCTAAGAATCCAAATCCCATACTCAATTTTTTACCAGGATTCTTGGGGTCATTCTTCATTTTTATGCGAATCGATCTGACTCCCGTTGTTTTTTCCTTGAACACGGCACATAGTGTTTCCTCGGTAGTATTGAAACTGAGATTTTTGACGAACAAAGTGGCGACTTCTGGTTCGTCTAAATCCATCATTGCGTTGTCTTGAGTGTCTTTTGCTGGTTCAACGAGGTCGGCTGAAGAAAGTGGGTTTATAGGATCTTTAATAAAGATATCTGTGGGTGCTTTTTCGAGGTATAATGGCGCGCCTTTGAATTTTTTATATGCAAGACCGGAAAATGCGGCCTTTGCTTCAGTCGGATGTAAGAATTCGATGATGGCCATAGTTTTCGAAGGAGGCAGTATCAACTATTTGTTATACAAAAATGTTTGTAAAATGTTTATTAACTACAAATTAAATAAAAATACATCCAAGGCCCAAATTCTGCCCATAAAAAAACATACCTTCCCAATATCACCATACCATCCAAACAGCTGCGACAACTCTTCCTTCGTAGTATTAAAAGAGATATTTTTCACCAATATGACAGTATCACTTCTTTCTTTACTAGTGTTATTAGTGTTTGAAAACGCGTCTAATCGTATTCCTTGTTTTTCGAAAAACAGTTTCGTCTCTTGTATTATGTGGGTTTCTGCCAGTGCCAATCGAGCAGACATATTTTCTGATTCTGGATCCAGAATCTCTGATTTTTTTACGTTGAGCCGAGTTGCTATTGAATCCATAACGGCATCACTCTATTCAAATCAAAAATGACGTAAAGGAGAATAAATATTCAAAAAAAAGAAAGGATATTTCAAAATTTCATTTTTCGAAAAATTATTTTTATCGCATACGCTCATGTACAAAGTATTCCAATTAAAATCATTAGCAGCCAAAGATTTCAATTTATTCTCTTTTTCCTTCTTCAAACTTAATTTCTTGTCTGTTTGAATATCAACACGTGTAAAAGAACTTGATTTCTTTTCCCAAGAAGGTAAAATATGCAGTAATCGACCCATAAAGAATTTATTATCGAGTTCTATGAAAGCTTTTACCGCGTGTTCTGGTATAAGATAAAGTACGTATGCAAAACCTTTAGGTTTTTTGGTCTCCCGATCTATTGGTATATGAACCTAATATTATGCATACTCATTAATAACATTAATTGCTAATTATTCATCTCGGTTACCAAATATATATATGGAATCAATTCTTGTATATAATAAAAAGACATACTTCTGCTAATGGACCAAATTGATGAAACTCTTTTCGTAAATCTTCTTCAGTACAAATATAAGGTAAATTACGAACAAAAAGTCTTCCAGTTTCTGCTATTGTTTCTTCAGGAGGTGGTTGTGATGGATTCTTGTGTAATGAATTACTATTATTCGATTCATTGTTATTCTGATCGAACGTGGAATTAAAATTTTGTGTTTCTTTATCATCTTCAATAAAATCTTTGGACGGGTCTTCACTGTCATCATTATCATCATCAGCAGCAGAAGATTCCGAATTGGATTGTTTCATTCTTGATTTCAACCAATCCATATCAGAAGCTGATGTTTCTTTTTTTGCTATTGATTCGTCATCGCTTTTATTGTTGTTGTCATCATCATCAGTACTTTCACCACTGTTCTCGCTTTCCTCGGTGTCTTTTTCAGATTTTTCTATACCAAAAAGTTCTTGTTTTAATGTATTATTACTTTTTTTCAAATTTGATGATTTTCCGTTCTTCTTTAATGATGGCTTCAAATCCTCATATAATTCATCAGATTTATCATCATCACTTTCCTCATCATCTTTTTCTTTGTCGCTTTTACTCGATTTTATATCTACTTTTTTACTTGGCTTTTTTCCAACGTCACTCTTTTCTTTCGTTTTCTTTTTGGTATTTTCACCCTGTATACCATTATTCGCTAAAGCATCCAAATCAGCATCGTCATTTCCCCATGTTTTGGTCTTAGAGCGTGGTTGCATGACTTTAAGATATTCTAAGAGTTTCTCGTCTTTTTTGTTATGATTTTTATTTTTTTCTGCATCGTCACTATCTTGTGATTTTTTATCTTTGTTGTTATTATCAATATCATCATCATTGTTGTTATTGTCTTTATTACTATTATGACGCTGTTGATATACAGAAGACCCAATACTATGAGCACTCCACGGTCTTGGAAGTGACGGATCATTCACCTATTTAATTCAATCAATTAATTTAATTTCAATAATCTGATAACATTTTATTCTAATAAACTCACAGGTTTAGCAAACTCGACTATGATCCGCGAAGTATCGATAAACGTGTTATTGAAATATTGTAACGCGAGTTCTGCTACTTTTGGTGTACGATATCCGATGAATCCAAAACGACGTGATGTTCCGTCTCTTTGAGGATTTCAAAAAAAATCAAATATAAATGATTTAATTTTTAAATAGATTCATTAAAAACTAATTATTCAATTAATTTATTGTACTTGCGCTGTTCGCATGACTTTTGCGTCTGTCACTTCACCCTTTAAGGCAAAGTGCTGTCGAAACCTCGTATCCGACAAGTTTTTCGGGAGGTTCTTTATTATGAGTCTCGAGGATGAAGACCTTTACGTAATCAATCATAAAATAAAACATTAGTTGTTTGGTTAATTTATATGCATATACAACGAGTAGTCGATGAACTAATGTTACATTCTTGAAGTTTGCGGACAGTAAACGAAAATTCTAATCTTCTCGTCGATCACCAAAAATTTTATGACTGTGTAACTTAGGTCCGAATCGATCATTTTTTTCTATATGAACGATTATTTAGTCATTCATAGCCAAGTCAATCGATTAGATCTGATTTATTTAATCACAAATCGGATCATTCGGATGACCCGTCGATTCAGTTAATTGCAAATCGGATCATTTAGAAAATCGTCGATTCATTTAATGAGAAATCGAATCATTTGGACGTTCCGAGTGCGTGTAGTATAGTATATTTAATCAAATAAATGAACTAAATTTTATTTTTATTATTAATTACATCAACTATACCTAAAATATAAAAAATTTCAAAATATAACTTATTTTACTCTCCAGATGATCCGAACTAATTACTCATAAATTGTGATCCGGTTAATCGATCCAAATCGATTGTTATAATCAGTTGGTCGGATCCGGATTACGGATTGAACGACTCGGACCACTACGACCATAGCTCGGTGTTTGTGCAACCGAATATCAGGTTTACTATAAAAATGGTTCTCCATTGATTATATGTCCCTTTTTCAATGTGGCATTTGTGTATGGAGAAATAAATTATGGCAAGAACGGTTTTAAATAAAACGCCAAGACATTGTAACCTCCACCATATTAGCTGGTGCACCATTATTATTACAAACTAAAAACGGTACATATATTAAATACAGTTTAAGCCTATATTGATTGATGTATGATGTGTGATGATGATCTCTTAGTAATGATATGAAAAGATATAAAAAGGTGCGTTTCGAAATTTTATTTTATTCGATAATTGGCATAAATTAATAATAGGAAAAACCAAATAACTCGGTCCTAATTAAAGAAGAATAATAATATAAAATGTCTGAACAAAAAGGATATTATGGACAACCACCGCAACAAGGATATCCACCACAACAACCGTATCCTCCTCAGAATCAAGATTATTATGGTGGAGGTGGTGCTCCGCAAGCACCACCACAACAACAAGGTTGGTTGTTACTTTATTTCTTATTCGTTTTCTTTAATATTATTGGTTTTTACTGGAAATAGTAATAATAATGACTTTAATGGAATAGGATACTATCAACCAACACCACAACCACAAACAATTGTAGTTCAACAAGCACCAAAGAAGGATAATAGTGGTTTATGTTTAGGATGGTAAGAAATTTTATAATTATTTATATCAAAAATTTCATTTTTCGCACTAATTAATTTCACTTTTGTGCTTCTTATAAATCAGTGCTCTTGGTGCCTGTTTATGTTGCTGTCTTGACGAATGCTGTTAGTTAATGATAAATTTTCGAGAGGTTATACTTTACTTTCTCCATAAAGATATCGATATTATTACACATTTTATCTTAATTACATATATTTGTATATGATTTTCTCTTCGAGAAGGGATTATTACAGTCCAATTATGGAAATGCTGTTGTGACACGGAAATGTCATTGTGAAGCGAAAGTGTACGAGTCTGAAAATTAGTTGGAACGCATGTGACGACACAAATTGTGCAGCTTAATAAATTATGTGCTTTTATATGCACGATTAATAATTCTAATTATAGTAACGATCAAAATATTAAAATTGAATATACATTGAATCAACTCTAAAATTATTTACAAAGGTAACCAACCGTACACACTCTTCTCGAAATATGTGATGTGAAAAATGACCGCTCAAAAATTTTATATACACAGATACGAGAAATGTACAATGAATTGCCAATTATATATATTTAACAACTCGAGATCACACAGTTTAATCTTCATCGATTTCTTCAATTATCCTCTTCTTTCTATTACCATTAGCTCCTGTTGACCTTGACGAGCTCCCAGCATTATTATTACTATTATTGCTATTATTATGTGTGGTATTATTTCGACGTGAAGTTGTAGTAATCGATGTAGATGCTGAAGCCGCCGATGGTCTGGTTATCCTCTTACCGCTACGAGTTTGTAATTGTGTTTTGGAGCGATTATTGTATGACGATGAGGATTTCTTACTTTTTCCATTAGTCTCGTTTTCCCTTTTTTCTTCTTCGTCCTCTGAGTCATCTTTATTTGCTTCTTGCTCTTCGGATGAACTTATTGAGGATGATGATGATGCTGTTTCGACAGTTTTTTTAGATCTCGTGGTGGGTGCTTTTGCTTTTGTTTTAGCTTTTTCTCGTTTCGACTGAGATCTGGTAGTGCGTTTTCTCTGAGGCTGTTGTATTTCTGTTTCTTTTTCTTCCTTGATATAATTATCGTCGTCTTCATTATCTTCGTCATCTTCATTATTGTTATCGTCTTCTTCGGATTCAGTACTTGTGGTTATACTACTGGCTTTTTTACGTCGTGATGTTGTTTTTCTTCTTGTAGTGGATGTTGATTTTTGTTTTGCTGCTGCTCGTGTTGTGCGTTTATATGTCGATTTTATTTCCTTTTCTTCCTCTTCCTGGTCATCATTGTCGTTGTCATCATCATGATGATCTATATCTTCACTATGCTCATTTGTCGATGATGCTTTTTTCGCGGTTTTTGAACCTCGAAGATTACGAGTTTTAGTTGTTATAGTGGTTTGATTTGGAGGTTCTGTGAAAGGGAAAATGCGTTCTTGAATATACATGATTATATAAAACGTGAATAAATATCATTTCCTTACCGTTTGATCGCTCTGATAACACATTTGGTTGCTCGTCGCTATAATTTCCATTCCACCATTCTGGTGGATAATTTTCTTGCGAAGGCATTTTGGATGCGAGCGCCACAAGATTCGACAGAATTCTTTTATTCCTTATAAACCGAACTTTTGAAAATATAACCACCATCGATTTACTAACGCCACGACCAAGAGAAATTCACATAAAAAATACTTACTTGTTTCAACATCAGCATGCTCTTTCGCCCACCAAGCCTTCATGACCAACAATAGCCCCTCCGCTTCCGTGACAGTATTTTCATTCGGTAGCTGTCCCTTTTTCTGCTTCTCTTGAGATTCCGTCACTCTATCGAAGAGTTTTTCGATCACTTCCCTCAACAGTTCCATAAACTCGTTGGAAAATATTCGACGCCATTGTTCGAATATTATTGCCACGAAATTCACGTTCGAATTGTGCTCTTGATTTTCGAGTAGACTAAAGAACAAAGGGAAAAATTGTTCCGAAGGACGAACAGACCCAAGTAAGTTCAGTATTCCGTTTATTGCTTGTGGGAAATCTGAGAGAGAGTTAATTAATTTTTCATTTTCGCTAAAAATTTGCGTATATATATAAGTCGAAAATAGACAAACCTGTCACATCCATCCCTCTTAAGAAGGTTGAATTTTCCACAATTTGCGCAATTTTCTCAAATTTCCCTCCTACTTCTGCATTAAGCAGCTCGAAAAATACGCCTTGATCATACTCCGACCATGAAAACACGTATCCTATTATGCATCATGTATCAAATAAATAGTTTAATCAATTTAATTCAAAAATTCACATTAGAAAAAAATACAAAAACATACCAAGCAATTCGTCAAAATCACATTCGCCAAAAATCTGAATTTTGTTCAAACGAAGATTGGTTTGAATAGATAAAGCCTAGTTTGGAAATATTTTAGCGCTAATAAAAAAAAATAAAAAAAAATATAGATATATTCCTCACCAAAGCAGGACTCATTCTTGAAATAGTCAAATAGATAAAATCTACATCACCCACTAAATATTCTCGCAATTCTTTTAAGATTAACAGCCATATAGAAAGGAAAATATCCACATGGTTTTTCTGTAGGATCTATGGCAACAAAAGAACACAAAAATTAAGACATTAATTATTAAAGAAATCTCAGAAAAAAACCCTTATAAAAACAGTAAGGTAAAATAATTCAAACCGTCAGATCACGTAAGATTCTCCTTTTGGTTTCTTGAAGCTTGTCGTCATCATTAGTTTTATAGAATTGCATCTGCTTTTCCAAAAAATTCTTGTAAACTGACAACAATTTTTGAGCAAAACTAGGGGAATTCTGTTTTATTCGACTATATGAGTTCCAAAGAACAAAATTAAGCTCAAATAATCATATCAGAAGAGTACCAGGATTTTTTTAATGTATAAATATTAAACGACCCTCATTATACCGACATCCGGATTAATGAAACCCTCGATATAACGACAGAGCATGTGGTATTTTTTTATGATGATCATCCTCGTTATAACGACAAAATCCTCCAAGATATATCGGTATAACGAGTCACTTATTGATATTACCTTAAACCCGATAACAAAAGTCCAGTACGAACAATGTCTTGTGCCGAATCGATTTCGCCCACTTTTATGATTAATTCAGAAATCTTCATTGTGTTTCCATCTTTTTCCGACTCTTGGGCCTCCCAGTAGCTTTTCAGAATAACATCAAACAGATTTGAAGTGTCAAGAAATTTACGGACGTTAGGTGCAATGCGATCCCCGACAGAACCAAATGCGTCCTAATTAACAAAATTTATAGACGAGAGAAAATAATATCAGATAACTTGAAATATTGTATTATATTATATTAGAAAATATTCGTTATTACATACGATGCTTTGTCGCTGCATATCTTCAAAAATTGCTATAATCAATTTTTCTGCCTCGGCCGGATCTTCGGTTTGATCAAATGTATCGAGTTTTTTTCCGTAAAGCCAAAACCGGTTCATGCCTTTAGATGCTTGAGGAGAGCTTGATTCGGTATACGCGGATAAGGAAGATAATCGAGTAGGCATTGGAAGTGGGGAGTTGAATGCAGAAGTTGGTCCAATTGTTGATTGAGACGCGAAATTTGAGAGAATTGCTTTATCTTGTTTTTGTGAAGTTACCAAAATATTTTCAGTCTCTTGCATGATATTATCATGACCATTTGATTCAACAAGCCTATTCAAGGTATCTAATCAGATTTACCAAAAAAGTTATCAAATAAAAATATTAATATAACGTGGAATAAAATAGGAAAATAATAATAATATAGGAAAATATCGCAGAAATGCTATAGCAAGACGGAACATGATATATATATATCATGACTAGCTATAAGAAAACAGATAAGCACAGCATAATTAAATTTACCAAGATTTTGATTCGCACCGATTCTATGCGTATCTCGCATAACAACTTCTTTGGTGGAGACTTCCATGTTCATCGGTTCTTCTTTAATTTTACCAAGATTTTGATTTGCACTGATTCTTTGCGCATATTGCATAGCAACTTCTTTGGTGGCGACTTCCATTTTCATCGATTCTTCCTTAATATCAGCAAGTTGGTTAGACGAGAAAGGAGGAATTTGTGCTGAATTTAATGGAGATGCGGCCGCTATTGATAAAGGCTCGGCAGTAACGGGAGTATTGGTGATTGTTGACACGGAAATTGTCGAGTTAGTGGTGATATTGGGCCTTTTAGGGACTATTGCTGAGCCCGGAGAATTAGTTTGGATACTTATCGAAGATCTTCGTGTCTGTAGTGTGGGTACTTGAGGGGTTGAAGTTTGAATGCTCAAAGAGGGTCTTCGTTGCTGCTGCTGCTGGATTATAGCCTGATTGCGGTTAACATCTCTGAGAGCTTGACTGATGTGATTACCCCATAATCCAATAATGTAACTTTTGGCAAAAGAATCCAAGCATCCGGAACTAATGGCTAAATTCAGAGCTTCTGGCCTAATAAAAACAAATCTCAATTAATTATTCGCTATTGTATCAAAACAACTTTTCGAAATTTCAAGACACTTACACTATAACACCTAGATTAAATACCGTATCCATAGCATCTTCCACATGTCTACGTGTTCTATAACCTTGTATATTACAGAAATGATTCACCTGAAAATGCAAGTATTCAATCAAGCTATTGGTGACCATGGACTGAACCGTAATGTTTTCCAGTATTACTAAGATTCCCGGTTCAATATTCATTATATTATCTTGTTTAGTCCAACACAGCCAATCATAAAACAAAGCTAGTCGTGCTTGAGATGCAATCGCACAATCATTCTGTACAAGCTTAATCAATTCTGTAATTATTGTCCACCGTTTGACGAGATTTGAACGAAGCATTTCGTTAGTAGGATGTATACAGGCACAAATAAACCGAATCACATCCACCACGAGATATCCTGGTGATCCGTTGAAAAATTCATTGAGAAACCATTTGAATTTTCTCGCGTGTTTTTGATTTTCAGTCTGTAAGTGAAAATATTTTATATGAATCATAATAAGAAAAATTTTTAAAATATCGAAGAAATCGAAAAACTATTATTTACATGAAAGATTTCTTTTAAATGATCTTCCATAAAAAAAGTAATTCGACTTCTTATTAGGAAGCTGGGGGTGGGAGTGCACAACAATCCCGTTAGACCTATGCAATGTCAAAATCAAAAAATTATTTAATTATCCATTTAGAATTAAAAAAGTCAAATCAATTTCGTACTTTCATATCCCGGAAATTTAGTTGGAGCATGAACCAATTCGCTCAAGATTACACGAATCCTAGGATGTCTGGCAACATCCATAAGTAAACGGATCAAATCACGACCGATATACTTACATATGGGCTTTAGAATAAAGTAAGGACATGCTAAATAATTTAAGATTAAAATACTTTACTCTTCATATCAACGTAATAAATACCTGGGTCTTTAATAGTTTTTCGCATAGTTCAACCTCTTTATTCGCCAAAATCTGATAATCATTGCCAAAATGATCTCTTAGTTTCCGTAAGAATGTAAATATCACCAATGCAACCAATCTTGGGTGATTGGATAGAAAACCCCTAAAAAGAAAAACAAATAATTGTGAGAAAGTAAATGTACTAAACACGATCCAAAAAATATTACTTACATGCTGTAATCTCTAGAGAATATCTCGACAAATTGATCGCATATAAAAAGATTGCTCTCGCTATTATCACTCCCTATGTTTACAAGTAAAGAAGTCAGAAAAAATATAATTTTTTTGTTATTTTCGATGTTTACCTCGTATTTGCCGTAGCATGTTTTCACATACTAACTCCATATTATTATTGTCTGTTCCCTTCACTCCCATGGAAATTAATCTCCTTATAAGCCACAGTATCTAAAAAATATTAATATCCAATATTTGTATAAGAAAATTTTTTTAAAAAAAAATAAACGAAAAAAGATTTTATAAACTTACACGATGTATTGTCCTCAATGTATACATCTTAAATTTTCTTCCCTGCGATGACATTTCAATTAAAGTCTCCAGGGGTATCTGTAAAGTACCACAAAGTATCAGTCTATTCAAATGCTAAAATGTAGAAAATATTTGAGTATACTCTCCCTGATCATGATAATTTAAATCTATATGTTTCAATATTCAGTCAAAGCTCGATATAACGATATGGTCGGGACAATTAGTAAAAAATTCTGCAAATATCGTTGTATAGAGAATTTATTATATAAATCGTTATACTGAAGGAAGTTTTATTAAAAGTGTTTTTAGATTATCATCGTTATAACGGAATATCTTTATATCGAGCTTTGACTGTATACATTTTTATATACCTTGTCCAACTGTGAAACATCACCCTCGGTAAATATCACGTATAAGATCCCGTGCATCATCATATTGTGCTCTCTTGTATTCTCATTCTATCGAAATTTTAAAATAATGTCACGTGACCAAAATAATATCATCAAAACAAAAAAGATCAAAACGATCAATCACATACCAGAGCACTGTTTATTTGTAATTCATTTTTACCCAATAGATGTTGGTAATTGTTGTGATATCCAATTCGCATATTCTACGTAAAATAAATATAATTTATTAGTATAGTTGAGATTCTAATTTTTAAATATCTATTGACAAGTTAAAGTATAATTATATAATATAGTATTCATTTCTTTATTTTTTTCCAAGAAAGCACCATGATTTAAATGATTTAAATCTACAGAGATAGCTGGAGAAGATCTTCGTCGAAATAACTATTTTAACCCACAATTGGCGCAGTATATAATGTATGTAGTATGGCGCAGCATTTATACTAACAATATGAACGGAAATTTTTGAAAATTACCTCTTCCCAGCTTGTTAGCTCTTCAACTGGCTCTGTTAATAGCATACTGGCCGTCATTTTATAAATTATCGACTATTAGAATATCACAATAATACACTAATACCCTCGCTAATTTCAAATTTCAGAATTCGACAACGCGTAACTGTCAACGAAAATGACTGAGAAGACACGCTCAAAAAATTTGATTAGGTCTATTTATAAAACTTTGGGAATCAACAATGTCAGAAAAAATTGTCAGATTGTACAACTTCATTTATGCATCGTGATCGTATTTGTGTTCGTTTTTGTGAAGATACCCCAGAGTTTAACATTAAAATTGAGGCTAGCGCTAGTTCATACTATAAATTTCTAGGGCTGTAATATTTCCCGAATATATCACTCGCTTCTTATACAATATGGAGAAAGCAAATTCCAGTAAAAGGGAATAGAGAAGAAAAATGTGAAAACTCCTGTTTCTGGCAAACACCAAGTAGTTCTTCAAAAGTTTGAGAATACCTATTGTAGGACCAACATCAAAAGTTTTGGAAAAGTGACCTCCTTTCATAGTGACGGGAGGAAAGTCATAAATCACAATTTCCAATGGAAAGACTTCGTCAGAGGGGAAGATCTGGTGTGGAAGTTGCATCAACATTTTCGGCAGCAGTCACATCTGCAGGCGAGACAACCCCAAGATATAAGAAAAATCGCAGAATCAAGCATTGATCCATTACCACCTTTGGAAATTTCTGATACAGAATATGAAGACTCAAAGTAAACTTATTTCTTTTTTTGAATTAATAGAGAACAACAATGATATCATTAATACTTTTGTCTAATAAAAATCAAAGTGGGATTCCGTTTACGTCTCAGATTCAAAGCACTTAAAATTCGACATTGACGAACTAAGGAAGAAATGATGGTTGTTAGAATCGTATTGGTTTAAAATCAGATATCGGCTCGCTCCCTTTACTCTTTAAAACTGAGATAGAGTATAGTTTAGCCACGTAATTCCATATTAAACATATATACGATGAAAAATATTATTTGGTATTTTGGGAATTTCAAGGCCATCCGGACTGGAGTAAGAAGCAACCCGGATTTTCTGATTGGATCCTGTCGGAACCGGTTTAGAACCGGTTCTTCTCGATCTCGAATATAAATATATATATATATATATATATAGTTTAATCGATGATCTCTTTTATAACTGATCTACCAAATAAACGTTTTACTATATTCAAACAATAAATAATTCTTATTCATCATTTTCTGATAGTTTTATAAATAGACCTCGAGCTTTTTTTTTGTTTCTGAAATTTGAAATTAGCGAGGGGATTAATAATACTCTAATAGTTGAAAAATTATAAAATGACATCTAGAATGCGATTAGCAAAGCCAGTTGGCAATGATCCATTACCACCTTTAGATATTTCTGATACAGAATATGAAGACTCAAAGTAAACTTATTTCTTTTTTTTTAAATCAATAAACAACAATGATATCATTAATATTTTTATCTAATAAAAATCAAAGTGGTATTCCGCTTAATTTCAAGCTGCACGTCCCAAATTCAGAGCACTTAAAATTCGACATTGACGAGCTAAGGAAACTAAGAAATGATGATTCGAAGGAGCTATGGATTGTTCGTGTTCCTAATATGGTACTTTTTTGAGATATTTATATATGAATTCAGTGGGCTATTTATTAAAGTATCAATCAAACAACGCTAATTAATATAATAATAAGATTGAAAATTCAAAATTGGATGGTATGACATTCAAAATGCCGCCACGAAATTGCAATAAAGTAAAACGTCTAGCTACTTTCGATCAAGCTTATGAATACGAGATAACAGACGACGAAAGTGATTCCGAATTGCTTAAAACCTATAAGTCGATAAAAAAATACAAGGAAAAAAAGGAAAATCTTAAAAAAGCGAAACATGCCTCTGCTACTTACGGGATTCATTGTCTCCCAAGTGAGATAACAAAAGATGACTCTTCGTCGTCCTCAGATTTTGATGACACCATGGACATTCTCTGCGCAACATCATTAATACCTAAAAAGTCAGAAATCGCACCTGTGGGTAGCGAGGAGTTATATGATATATCATTATTATTACCTAGTAATAAGAAGAACGGAAATTTAATCCTAGGTTTTTATTAAATTCCAATGCTAGATATACGAATTAATTTTTTCTATCACACAAACATTAATAATAATCATCACCCTATATTTCAGAACCAATGCAATTTGACCGACATCTTACCGTCACAAGACTATACGATATTCCTGATCCTACTGAGGCCGCTTTAAAAATTCTTTCTGAACCAAAGATTCCGCTTGAACCGCCGGCAGGCCTGAAAATGCAATTCAAACCTTATGGTTTTGATACAGGTATTATTTATATTTAACGGGTTTTCTTCATCCTTTATTAATTAATTAATTAAATGGTCTTTTTTCGCAGGTTTTTCTAATAATAATACTGACAAAAAGAAAAGAAAATTAAACGAATTCGAATCCGAATCAAATGCATGTAAGTATAGACTTTGCATTTACAAAATTCATATTCTCTATTATTGATATATTATCAATTTATTCAATAGCTTCGTCTTCAAAATCAATATCACTACAAAGTCCAATAAATACTCTAAAACGAATAAAAAATGATCGTCCAAAGACACCCATCCAAATACCAGGTTTACCCTTTGGACAACAATGGAAAAATCGTCCAAAGACACCCATCCAAATACCAGGTTTACCCTTTGGACAACAACGGAAAAAAAAGAATCTCAAGCTGAACAAAAAGAAAGCCAAGTCGGAGAAATTCAAAAATTCTTTTGTATAATTTGATATTCCGCTGGTAACGTCTTTTAATACAAAGAAAATCTATTGAAACGTTATGGTGTTTAGCTATAGTTGATCGATTCAATCCATCCGTAGTTTATTTTAGCAATCAATTGACAAGTTTTGGCATTCATTCATAATTATAGTCAACTATAATCAACCAATTGGCATGGCTGGGGCTCATCAAGCAATACCCGGAGAAAAATTCTCGAGCGCCATTCAAGTCCCTATTAATCCGAATCCCACACGCGTCGCACCTAAACTCTTTATTTCCACCCAAATGTATCCACAATAACTGCACATTTTGCTTGTGTATGCTTCTGACATCGACATTATAACAATCTTACCAAATTCTTCCATCTTAAATATCAATCGTTTCCTAAATCTCACATGCACCATCTTCCGAACTGTCTTATTAAGTCTTTTTCCTTGTTGGCGCCGTGACATTCGTGTGCTATCAAATGTTTATATCAAAAGTATGAACCAACCACAATGCAGTTTTTATATACTACAGTCAGGGAATATACCAAATGCGAACAGGGATGATTATTTCTTTTTATAATTTTTAGAACATTTTAAATATATACAAAATGATTTAAATTAATTCTATACTGATTATAGTAACATGATTTGCTTGGTTCAAAAAATTTTTTTATATTAATTATTATTGGATAAAGTAACATTAATAATATTTGGATATAAAAACATCATCTAAATGGAACTACGATAAAATCATGTGATACATGATCGAATCACGTGATTAAATTTATGTTAAACGAGAAGTTTGCGAACGGTAATATAAAATATCAGAAAACAATTTTATATATTATTGTGATTTAATATTTAATATAGATAATTATTATAAACAATTATTGCACATGATTATTTCAAATAATTATTTGTCAAATAATTATTTCTTATTTATTAATTACTTATAAATATTATATATATTTTAACTTAAAAAAATAACAAGAAATTCATTGTTTATATTTTTTAATTTTATTAACTAAAATAATTAGTATTATAATAGTAATACAAATTTTATAAAAAAAAAACTGTTTTTAATCTGGAAAATTTCTAATTTTTGAGTCTAAAAATTTCTGGAGTTTTTTTTGTTTTTTAATATTCAATTCAAGTCTAGAAATTTAATAATTTTGTTAATAAATTTCTAAAGAAATCTTTAATACTTTTTGAAATATAATCTAATATTTTATAAAAAAAAGATATATTCAAATTTTACTTATTATATTCTGATTTATAAAAATATATATATAAGTAAAATTTGAACAAATTTTTTTTTTATTTTTCTGAAATATAAATGAAAGTTAAATAGATCTTTTATTTGAATATAAAAATTATATTTATTATTATAATTATATATTATTATATATTTAAATATTCTAAATTTAAAATAAAAAACTCTTTTTGCTAATCAATTTTTTATAAAATAATAAAAGTGCAAAACAGATAGTTTTTTACAATATTTCAATCAAGTTACTAATTAATGACATTTTTTTATTAATAAATTCTTTTTTTATTTATTATATATATTATATCATATTTTTTTCTATTTTCATTATAAATAACAAAAAATATAAAAAAACTTAAAAAATATACAAAAAATTTTTTTAATATTTTATTATTAATTTATATTATTATAACATGCTCTTTAAATTTTTTTAAAGATAATATTTCTATATATAAATATAATTCAAGAAATTTTTTCTTTTTTTATTTTTTTACAAAATTTCTCTTTTAAATATTTAGTAATTACTGAAAAAATCTTTTTTTCAATTTTAACCAATAAAAACTAAATAATATCAAAAAAAATCAAAACAAACAAGATATATACTATATAAAACTCAAATAAAAAATAAATATATTATATATAATATATTATATAATATATATACTTTCACTTCCAAATTAGAATATGTATTATATATTAATTACTTATTAATATTTGAATATAAAAATACATATTTGATAAAATAAAAAATATTTCACTCAACAAATATACCTTTTAAATTAAATAATAATATTGCAATATTAAAATATCAAAATAGTAATAATACATTCAATATCACTTCAAAAGACAATAATAATATTACAGAATAAATTATTATAAAAAGTAAAATCACTTACAAAAATCTGAATTAAATTATTTATTTTTTTCACGAATTTATTCAAGTTATAATCAGTAAAATAATTAAATATATAGCTTATATTCTAGAATATAATTAATTTAATTCAATTTTAAAACTTATATTTAAATCTCATTCAAATCTCAATCTGAATTGGATTAAGTAATGTAACTCTTTATATTATAATTCAAATTAACTATTATTACTTAAAAGATATTATATTTGATATCAAGAAAAGCTTAATTAGAATAATATTCTCTAAATTTGACAAAATAAAAAAATTATATTCTAAAATTATTAATTAATAATAATATATTATAATTTAATTTTTTAATTCTAATAAAGTTAATAATGCTCTAAATACTTAATTTATTCTAATTAATAATAATAAAGTTTGAATTTTTTTACTCACAAATCAAAATCAAATTATTTTTTCTCATAACAAATACAAACTCAACTTATAAATCTTTTTTATAGTTGTATTACATATGAATTTAATAAATTTTATTTATAAAAACTAAATCTTGTTTTATTTCAAGATCTTTAATAAAATATTAATAATAATACTTTGTATAAATATTATTCAAATCAAAACTAGAAATAGCTTTGGTAATATAATATACAATTCAAATAAAAATTTTCTTTAATAATTATATATAATATGTAATTCAAAATTAATTATTAAACATTTCTTTATAGAATTAAATTCTATTACTCTATTTAATACAAATAACTAAATAAAAAATTATAATATAGATATTTGAAAATTAATAATATCTTTGTCTGTTTTATTAAAACAAAAAATATATAAACAAGTTTTAATTTCTAATTAAATAATCAATAACAATTATTTTAATAAAGCTAAAATTCAAAAATCAATTTTATTAATGAAATTAACTTATAGTTAAACATCTTTATAGTTATATCTATTTATAGTTATACTCCTTTATAGTCACTCTATTTTACTTTTTTATTTACATATAAATATAATAAAAAAATCTCTCTATAGTTATATTCTCTCTATAATCACCAAATTTTGCTTTTCCAAGGGTGATAACTATAAAAATATTTGATTGTATTTTTAATTATCAAACTTTTTATATTCTTTTTAATACTTTTTTTAATTTTTTATTTTTAATTCATGAAGTTATTTTACTATAAAAACTTAATCTTATCTAGAGTTGGTAAAATAAGTATATAATGCTTATTTATTATCTGTTGTAATATATTGCAACTTCAAATTTTATAAGTTATAACTAGTTATAATTAAAAATAATCTCTAAAATAATATTATTTAATTAAATAATTAACTTGTCAAAATTAAATTTGAAATTATTTTAATTAATTTTATTAGTAACTAAAATTATTTTTTGAAATTATTTGAATTTTATAAACTAAAACAAGTATTTTTAAATAATTTTTAAGTATTTATTAATATAAATAATATAACAAAATTAAATTGCTTGCTAAAATATTATTTTTTTCAAAAATAATTTATATAATTATCTTTAGTTACAACTAGATAATATTTTATTTGTTATTATATTCAATAATTATTATATTATCTTTAATTTCATCTATTTTTTAGTTAATAAAAATATATAAATAATATATAAATAACTTAAATTCTATAAAAAATAATAACAATATCTTATTTTTCTATTATTTTGTCCTATAGTAATTATTAAATTATTTAATTCATCAATTAAATTTTTAAAGTTATTAAAAAATTGTATTTCTTTATTTATTTTTTTTGATCTTTTTCTAGTTAGTTTTTTTTAGTATTTTTTGAAATTCATTTTGTTAAATTTTTTCTTGAATTTTTTGTCAAGTTTTTTCTTGTTGCAATTCTTGAATTTGAATAATTATTATTAATTATAATACTAATATTTTTCTTTCTTTTTAATATTAAAAAATGATACTTGTTATTAATTAAATAATTTAATTACTTAACTAAAGTATTTTTGAATTGAATTTTATTTATTTACTTTGTAAAATTCTTTTAAATTAAAATTTTTAATAATTTTAACAAATTTTTTATATTCTTTTTTAATAATTACTTCTCTTATACTAAAAATTTCTATTATTGAAAAATTTTTGAGAATGCAATTTTGTACAGATATTTAAATTCAAAAATCTATATAAATATTCAAATCTGATAGTAATCTGTAATAAAAAAATATATATAATTCAATATAGATTTGTGAAATTATATAAAACTTTAATATATTTCTGCAAAATTTCAAAATAATATTTATAATAAAATATATTTTATATATAATATATTATTTTAGATAAAATAAAAATAATAATTTAAAGTATAATAAAAAAATTTTATTATAAATAATTATATTATATAGTATTATTATAAAAAATAATAATAACTTAATACAAAATACTTTAAGACTTCAAATTTAATATAAAATTCTTTAAAAAACTTTAAATTAACAAATAATTATTCTTATATCTAACAAATAATGTTACTTAGTTATTCAAAGAAGATTTACTAAACAAAAGTTATTAAAATTATATTACAAATATATAATATTTTAATATTTAATATAAGATAAATCACATTATTTAAAATATATTTTTATTGAATAATTAGTAAATATGTAATTTACAAATTATAATTCCTTTTAGTTTATATTATTCATTTTATATTTCATATTATTTTATTTTATTTTATTTTAATTATATTTTATACTATTTAATTATATTTCATATTAATTATTTTATATTTTATATTGTTTTATTTTATTTTAATTATTTTATATTTAATTTATATTATTTTTATATTATTATTAGTATAAAAAACATATATTAATCACTTTTCAAAGATCAAATTAATTTAATAGTAATTTATAATAATTAATTATACTTAAGTAAAAGATATAAAATATTAAAACAAGTACTACAAGATAATTTATAAAATAAATTATATTTTATTCTAAATAGAATAGATTAATTCTAGATTAAAAAATTAAATTATTATAAATATTGTTACTGTTTTTATATGTTAAACTATAACTTATAATTTTTATTAATAAAATTAAAAATTTTTATATAAGACAAAAATTTTAAGTTTTACTATGTTTTATTAATAAAATAGTATATATAATTCCATAATTCTATTAGTTATTATATATTAATATACTTGTTTAGTACAAACTTTTAAAATAAAAATTTATAATAATAATATTTAAAAATCATTTTTAATTTTAAAAATTACAAATTTGTTGTTCAAAAATGAAAACTTTTGTTTTATTTATTTTTAAATGAAAGTATAATAAAATACTAAAAATAGAAATAGTATAAAAGTTATATTAAAATATATTTTATTTAATATAAAAAAATTATAAATATTAATTATATTTTGTATAACTTATTAAAAATAATTATTAACTTTTATTTTTCATATATTAATATTTTTGTACTGGATTATATTTATTATTATTATTATATAATATAACACTTAAAATAATTATTATTATTAAATTGATGATAATTATCTTTTTTTCAAATAAATCAAACAGTATTTTTATTCTATATCTTATTGATCTTATAATATAAATTTTATAATATTAATTTTATAATAAAATTATAGATTATAATAATAGTATTTTTTTTCTTTTTGTAAGCTTATGTATTTTTTTTGCAATTAGTTTTTGAATAAAAAAAATTTTATAATGCATAAAATCTAAATTTATCAAATATTTGTATTTTATAAAATGTATAAACTTTTTTATTAAGAAATAAATTCAAAAATTAATCTGTAAATATATTCAGAAAGGATCTATTCTATTATATTCATGAATTAAATTTTGAATTTACTTCTTAATAAAGAAGTTTATATATTTTATAAAATACAAATATTTAATAACTTTAAATTTTATATACTATAGTAAGAGTTTTAGATTTTATATTGACAATAAATATTTTTAATATAAAAATTAATAATGATTTCTTTTTTTCATTACTTTTTATTGAATTCTAAAATAATATAATATATATTTAATAAAAAGAAAAAAAGAGAAAAAGAGAAAAAATAAGGAAAAAATAAGATCAAAAAAAAATAAAAAATCAAAAAGAAAAAAAATTAAAAAAATAATAAATGATTAGAAAAAAATATTAAAAAAAATAAATAATAAATAAATAATAGAAAATTAAAAATTAAACAAAAAATAATTAATTAAAAGAAATATTAGAGAAAAAAAGAAGAAAAATAATTAATTAATTAAATAATTAATTAATTAATTAATTAAATAATTGAAAAAAAAAACAAAAATAAAAATAAAGAAAAAATTCATTTATTAATAATATTATATATAATAAAAATTCTTGTTTTAAATAAATTTTTCTTATTTTTTTTCTTATTATTTAGTTTTTACTTCTAATTATTGTTCATATTAATTAGTTAATTTCACAATTAGTAAAAAATATATAATAATTATAATTATCAAACTTGTCTAATTATCTATTAATATTTACAAATAGTATTTTATCAAGTTATTGTTCAATAAAATATAAATAATAATTATTTAATAATATTATAATATAAAGTGTTCAACATAAGATATTTAATATGATAAAAGTTTATATTATAATAATATTGATGTTATTTATATATTCTTACTAAGTTTGTAGTAAAAGAGACTAGGTTTAATATAAAAGATAAATAATATGTGTTTATTTTGATGATAAGCTAAAATGATATCAAATAATTTCAATAACTTTAATAAGTTATAATACAAGATAAATAAATCTTTCAAGTAATTTTAATTATAAATCAAATATGAATAATTTATTAATAAGACAAGATTTTGTTATATGTTAACCAATATAACTTTATAATTTGAAATTTTTACAAGTTATCTATTAATTAAAAAGCTATTCATTTATTAAATTAAATATTTAAAAACTCAAGTAGAGAAACCATCTAAAAATATCGATGAACTTAATTTTAACCAAAAAAATTAATTAAATAATTTCAAATTAAATTATGAAATGAATTGTCCAATAAAATGACTAAATATTCATATCATAATGATAACAATGTTGAAATTTAGGTTATTAGCTTAGATTTAAGTGGATTTCAGAATCGGCCCAAATTAGGATAGGTATGACTAGAGTTAAGACATGTATATGAAATCTAAATTCGACAACATAATATATATATATTTGATCATTTAAAAAAGATCGTTCTAGGGCTATGCTTATCCTATGCTTTTTAATAACATGATTTTTTGGATATCCATAAATGTTTACTCGATAGTCAATTAACGGTTTCAAAGTCATACTTGTATTCATAGAAATGAACGATGATGCCATTCTTTTTTTCCTAAAAAAGCTCAATGAATTGTTCTAAAAATAAAATTTGATGATAAGAAAAAAAACCGGATTTTACTACACATTTACCAACTCGATCGGTCAAGTTAGTCGGTCGAAAGAAGAATTCATGTTCTATTTTATCTACCAAAAAAAATAGGAACCAATAACATGAACGAGTCTAATGATGAAAGAGTAATAATCTAATGATAAAAGGTAATTATAAATATCTTGTTTCTTCGTACGATTCAAATTGATTTCGTGCTACCCGACTGACATAGTGCATGCATACACAACATTTAATTACACTTGTGTATAACAATATAGTTTTGAATACAATGAAAAATAGAATATACGATATAGTATTATTGATTGTACACAAGTTTATTACCCCACCACCACCCGGTCCAGTAATCTTCTTTGCCAACTTTTATATTTGAATGAAGAAGGAGGGTTTTGATTTGGGACCTTTGCTTATCACTTGCTAAATTATGCATAATATAATATTGGGCTGTGTGCATCATTGATCGTATTAAAACGATGCAGGAAACGTGAAACCAGAAAAAAAGAAGAAATCGTCGTCTCAATAGACAGTGATGACATCAATGTTTAGTTTTATGTTGAAAATATCACGAGATAGAATCTTAAAATTCTAACGGGTGAATTGTGACAACAACCGAGGGAGGAGGGGGGTCACAATTACTGCACAAATAAATCAAACTAGTACAACTAATACATGACCTATCATCAGCTATAATTACAAAAACAAAACTGTCCCCCAAAAATATCTTCAAATACCAGCGTTCATCACGACAACTCCGTTCTAAAAATTCTCACTCCTTTCTATTATAATTATTATAATTAAAAAATATAATAAAAAACCTTAAAAAAATATATAAGACTTCTATCATCCATAGGGTGAGTGTGAGCTGATTATTTTTCACTGGTGGTGTTGGGTAGTGGATAATAGAACAACAACAACAACAAAACAAAAAATCAATCTAATCAAAAAACAAAAAAATAAAACTAGCGCTAGAACGCATTTCCAAAACAACAACTCATGAAAAAGTATTCTAACTGACTGCACATTTGCTTATATTCATAGTAATCATGATGGAACACATCGAAGACCTCGCGCTAGGTAAACTTTCTTTCAAGCCATTCAAGCGTTTAGATTGACATCTAATAACATGAATTAAATTTGTTTCTAGTATAGTTATACTAATTGTATTATTGTTATTGTCATTATAATAGCGCATCGGCTAGAACATTATAGAAGTCGGCAGGAGGCTGCCAAAGGCTTTGATGATGACCTCGAGTTTTGTCCTTCTCTCTCGGCAGAAGAGGTAGATTTCAATATAGAAATTATGCTACAATAATATAATATCGATAATAATGAATTCTTTAATTATTTTACGTAACCTTGTACTTTTTCATTTGAATTTAATTTTCTTCTTTTATTTTTTTTTAGCTCGCTGAATATCGTCGTAAAGCTTCTCAGAGAATTCTTAAACCAAATGTAACGCCACCACAACCAAAGCGTGCCATTCCCATTATCGACCCAATCAATAAAACCCCATTAAATCTAACACCAATAAAATCATCATCCTCATCCTCTTCATCCTCGTCCTCCATATCCTCATCTTCTGGTACACCCGTTAATAATAGCACTAGCCATAATAGCCCCTCCAGCCCAAATAACAACAATATTCCATCGTCGATCCCTTCGCCATTCTTTTCTCGTCCCGGATCACCTTACTCTTTTGGCAGTTTCTCACCGACATTGACTTATCAGGCATTAGCAGTGGGTCCGAATGCAATGACGATGACCACCACGACGCCAAAAGCCACGAAATCAATACCGATTGTCGATCCGAATAGTGGGAATATTGTTAATATGCCGGGAAATAGTGCTACTTCGAATACCGGTAACAATAGCGGAAGTAATAATGGATTTGGAGGAAGCTTCTATAGTGACATTTCTGTACGGTGAATTTGATTTTGTGTATGAATCAAAAAAAATCTTTTTCTGTAAAGAGTTTTTTCTTTTTTTTTGTTTCTTACTTTTTTTATATTAAAACTACAGCGCATTATTAGTTAACGAACATTTCTTCTTTTCATCGTTGTCTTTTGTTCTTGTGTTTTGATAAAATCAAACTCAATCAATCAACTAAATTAAAAAAGATTTCCAATGAAAAGTATCATTATTATTTATAGAATTTCATTTTTGGCGGGAGACGAGAAGGATTGAGAATCTCTTTACAATTTTGGATTCATTCACAATCTTATTTTTTAATTTATCCCCTTCTTTTCACATTTTCTTACCCCATTGCATTCATCAAAAAATAAGAGAAGTTTATTATTACTATTCAAAGTACATATAAATTTCTAGCGTATTACGCGTTTTTTATTTATTTTTTTATTAGTTTGTACCATGTATCAAAGTTTGTATAGCTGCTGGTTTGTGATTTTTGGAATCCCTTTTCATCTTTATATATATACATACACACTCACATACACACTCACACACAATCATACACAATTCATTCATACATACACACACGTGCATCCCAAAACAGGTTGCCAACATTTGTAATAAAGTCTACATCTCACTTTTTTCTTTTTTTATAATTCACATGAATTTGCTGGGTTGGTTGGCTTAATATTCTATCGTATCACTGCTAATCAATTTAATTACCTCGAGCAAATGGACAATGGGAACTAATTACCAGAAACAAATTATTTTAGTGTCCAATGCATTGCATTAAGCACATTATCGCTATGTATTAGTGTCCAGCAATTGATTCTGCAAATTCTGCATGTAATGTGTACGGCCACTTGACCAATAAAATTACTTGAATTACCTGATACATAAATATCAAAAGTAGAATCCGATCAATCAAAATTTAATCCACAAATGTTTCATATTTGTGGATTAAAATTTGAATTGACATACAGTGGCTCACAGAAGCGGAACGCCGGAAAAAATGGCGAGACAAATACCACGCCACTGAGGAAATATCGACAGGTAAAAGTAAGTCAATTTGATTCAATCAAAAATTTATTTTGATCATTTTGATCTATCTTCTAACAAAAAAGATAGTGATTTTTTTGGCGTTCCATTTAATGACTCCGGAAAATGTACCACCGCCATTGAGTCCAACATGAGTTGGGGTTAACCTTTACGGCGGAGAGCATACGACGTATGTTCCGAAGAAACGGCTTATTCGCGAGGATCAAGCGAAAAAGCCTTACCTCAAAAAAACACATAGAAAACAACGATTGGCATGGGCGAAGAAATACCGAAGTTGGATGACCGACGATTGACGACGCATAATTTTCTGACGAAAGCAAGTACCAAATTTTTGGATCAGATGGCCGAAAATATTGCTGGAAGGAACCCGTCGAACCGTTGAAAGACCAGCATATCACGCCAACTGTGAAATTTGGTGGCGGTTCGATTATGGTTTGGTGTTGCTGGCGTTGGCGAGTTGCGAAAAATGAATGCAGATGTTTATATAGACATAGTAAATAATAATTTTTTAGGATAGACAGACTTCAATAGTAGTGGTCCAACAATTTTATCAGCTCATTCGATCACAGAAGAAGAATTTGGAACATATCGAGATGCAGATGAGAATGAAGGAGATTCCCTGGAAGAGGATGACGATACTTCACGTCATGTGAGCTTTGATATGGTAATAAATTTAATTTCAGATTTAATGGTCTGGGAGAAAATGCTGGCGGATAGAGAGTTTATCTTTCAGCAAGATAACGACCAAAACATACCTCCGGAAAAGCAAAGAGGTGGTTCGCTGATAATGACATTTCTTTGCTTGACTGGCCACGTCCCCCGACTTGAACCCAACCGAAAACCTATGGAACGAAGTCGATACACGCATGAGACAACTTCCTGGGTCACTTTCCATCAAAAACGAATTGTGGAAAAATCTACAAATCGCGTGGAAGAGCGTAGATATCGATTACTGTACAAAGTTGTACGAATCGATGCCAAATAGGATTAAAAAGGTCATAGAAGCGCGGGGTGGGTCTATAGAATGGTGAGTTGAGGAAATAAGCGAAAATATGTATGGAATAACATGGGAGGATTTAAGAGCATTGTTTGATTTTAAAACCCCTCGAAATAACCGAGTTCACCCAACTATTTGGCATAATCTCAACCAAAGAGACAATGCACTTAATCAGTTACATGAATATTAAATAAGAAATTTTTAGAAGCTGCCAACTTACCTTAATTAGAAAAACCGTCTTAAAATTGCCTTCCAAATCGGTCATATTAAAAAAAATTATCTTTTTGTTAAAAGATAGATCAAATAATTTTTTGATTCGTCAACACTCAAAGTATCATTGAATCAAATTGACTTACATTTATCTGCTGATATCCCCTCAATGGCGAGGTATTTGTTTTTTCGGCGTTCCGTTTCTCCTGAGCCATTGTAAGTCACGCCGATTCTGCAAGTCTGTCGCAAATTATGCATGTGCAGTAAACTGGACACTCTACTATGCATCAATTGAACCTGATAAAATTTAGAATCCATTAGTTTAGTAAAGGATAGCCAGATTGATTTGATATTTGAATAGTGTAAAGACTAGAATAATTGTTCTTCCTCAATGCCAGTAGGTGGAAATTACCATTTGACAAAAGAGTCACTGATTTTGTTTTCATAATCGCTTCTAAGCGTTTTGTTCATTACAACACCAGAATTCGAGGCCGAAGCAGCTGCAAAATTCGGGATCTTACGATCAGACGTCTTTGATTCGGCTGGAGCACTCAAGGCTTTATTGTTAATAGGGATTTAGAAGACTTTAGAGCTAAAACGCTAGCGGCTTTAGTTTCCGCTTTTTTTTGTGAAGATGATGGGTTACTTTGATTCATAGAGTACTCTCTGACAAGAAGAAAATTTGATCGTGGACCAATAAAAAAAGGCTATAAAATGATAATTCTAAATAATCTATAAATTATTAAAATTAACAAACGTTAAAGAGAATTATATTTACTGTAGTTTTGCGCTCTTTCCACTCACTCTAAAGGTTCTTCTTGCTATTTTCACAACTCGATGAGTCTGTTAATCCAGAAACGACTTATCAACAGTTTCAGCATTTTTGATTGAATAAAGGCCAGCTAACATCTTTGGCGTCAACTTTTTTTGCTAGAAAAAGTGAAGTGGTGGTAGCCTCTGTTTTCCAGTATCTCAGCTTTTCTGAGTACGTGCCCTATTTGCCTCTGTTCTAGACGTTTCTGGTGACTACGTTTCTCAATTTGTGTCTGATATTCAGTTTCCTGGCCATTAACTCCGCCTGTCAAGAGCTGTTTTTTGAGTTTGTGTTTGTCAATAATCACCGATATCTGATTCCAACCAAACCGGTTTTATGATACCCTAGAAGTCAAAACCGGTTTATGGAACTGAAAGGTTTAAACCATGTTGATTACTATCGCTATTTAAAAACAGTATTTGCCCGCATTCGAGATAGAAGAATTGTTGCTGTTATTATTGACCAGCATTCTCTATTCTGATGCGAGACCCTTCAATAAGTAAGCCTGTGGCTTGTTCTTGGTTCTACGACTGTTGAAGAAAATACAGAATTCACGAACCTTAATCTTTAGTGCAACACATTAAAGATCTATCATATAACAACTTTCTTCCAGCAAGGATTAAGATATTATTTGTGACTTGGAGAAATCTTTATATCATTGAATACCCTTCGTAATGGCATGTATTGATTGAATGTGACTTTTTCATGAAGTAATTGGGAAGAATTATGATGAGAAATTTGGTGTAAAGAGATTCCACCACTGCTTTCCTGGTAGAATGAACGCGCGTTCAATAAAACACTAAACTCGATCCGAAGTAGTTAAATTAATGACGTGTAAAAACTCTTCGTATTTTGAAATAAGTTGAACATGTGCTTTATCACTATTATCTAATCAGTTCACATGCGAAAAATAATATAACGATAAGACATTTCAATTCCATTATTCTTATACTCTGGTTGTTCGCAATGCAGCTTTTTGTAGTAAACGAGGCTCTTATAGCTTACACAGTACTTGGTGGCTTTATTGTAATCTTTGGTTTGGTGTCACTAATTGTGAGGGAAAAACTATATCTCAGTGAAGCCTGTAAGGGAAAGAAATTTCATGAAGCTCACATGGCATGCATGGTTTATTTAACACCGATTTTTTTCCCGTAAGAAGTGGTAGCCACTCTCCTAGGTTTATTAATAGGCCCTGCTTGCTTAAATCTTATTGATCCTACTCGATGGGAATATCAAGAAGCTATAACAGAAGAATTAACGCGTATCGTGCTCGCTATTCAAGTAACAATAAAATATTCGTACATGTCCTTTGATTTTCGATAAATTGAATAAATCTATTGATCCGTCATTGTAATTCCTGTTTTTTTGTTCAATTAGGTAATGGCTGCAGCCGTAAATCTGCCAAGGTATAAATTCGTGCTTCATCGTGATACAGAAGTTACCACGAAATGAATTGAAGGAATTAACCAGTTTGGAATCTTAACATATTTATAGAACATATGTCACGCGACACGCTACTTCAATGTTCATCATGCTTGTCCCTGTTATGACCTTTATGTGGGTCGTGAGTGCACTTATAATATACATTGTCATTCCTGATGCGGGATTTGTAAGAGAATTTTCTGATTCTTATTTAATTGAAATTTCACATAAACTAACCAATTCTGCTATTGTAGACCGAAACCCTATTGATTGCATCTTGCATCACGCCTACTGATCCTGTTTGTTTTACATTATTTTTAAATTTGTTTTAAAAACATGTTCTTTTTTTACCTCTGGTGATTATTCGTATCGTCACTTTATACTAGATATTGGCAAACTCCGTAGTTCAAGGATCATTTGCTGAAAAACACATTCCAACACAACTACGGCATCTTTTATCAGCCGAAAGCGGAGCTAATGATGGTGAATGACGTGAATAGAATTGAAGGAATGAAACAATTAGTGATTAATATTTAATTTTTACATGGTATAGGAATGGGTTTCCCTTTTCTTTTTCTCGCCCTATATCTTTTGCAGGCACCAAATAATCCCATTTCGGCTTTTAATAAATGGGTCTGCTATACTTGGGGGTATCATATAATGCTCTCTGTTTTCCTTGGTTTTGTGATCGGATGGTTAGCAAGAAAACTGTTGCGTATGGCAGAAAGCAAGTAAGTTACTCATTAACGCATTACAATTCTATTGAATTCATATCAACTGATTCTGTCTTGTACTTTATTCAGTGATTGGATCGATAAAGAGTCATTCTTGTCATTTTCTTTTGCCCTCGCGGTGAGTAAAATACTCTAGCAGCGCGTATATGGCTAATTATGCCTAACTTACTAATGCCATTTTATAATTAAGATTTTTGTAGTCGGATTTGTCAGTCTTTTAGGTTCTGATGCTTTTCTGGCTTGTTTCGTGGCTGGAACTTCATTCACCTGGGAGTAAGTGAAATCCATAAATTATGATCATTCTGCAACCTCGCTACACGCCTTACGCGTTTTTTTTGCTTCGTTGCTCAAGTGACTGGTTTCGCGAAGAGACGAGAGATGCACATCTACAAGGTGTAATTGATTTGTTACTCAATCTTACGACATTTATATACATTGGCACAATATTTCCCTGGTCATCTTTTTACGATGATGCATTGTCATTGAGAAAGTTGATCCCAATTAGTATCCTCATCTTAATTTTTCGTCGTCTACCTATCGTTGTTGGATTGAAGAAATTTATTCCAGCAATACATACGTTCAAGGAAGCTTTGTTTGCTGGTTACTTTGGTCCAATAGGAGTTGGTGCGATTTTCCTAGCAGTTACTGTTGAAAGAGAGATCGACAAAACTTTATGGGAATATCCGGAACTTCCAGAAATCATCGACAAAAATGGCTTAATGCGTACAAAGGAACGCGTTTTCCCGATCGTTGCATTCATTGTGCTAAGCTCAGTGATAGTTCACGGTATCACCGTGCCAATACTAAACATTGGTTCGCGAATTGACATTGAACGATTTCCCAGTATTGCAAGTATCAGCAATCAAGTTGCAAGATTGCCCGTAATTGATTTCGTAGAGAATTTAACCTTGGAACGGGATGCTCAAGGTCGAATCAGAAAGAAAGAAAAAATGAAAGCTGAGGTGTACAGAAGTCCCGCACGTACATTAGAAAGTCAAAGAAAAGCACAAGAAGCACAAAGAGCCGAAATTGAAGTAGCTGAGGAAGAGGAAGTTGAGGAAGAGGAAGAGAAAGCCGATAAAAATACAGGTAGTGAGGTAGAGGGAAGTGATCATGTCGTAACAGGTGTGCTAGTAGAATTTGATGATTTCGTATCTGAAGGTTGTAGCAAAGGTGATACGCAAAGTTCGTCTTCGTCGTCACCAGACTCTGTTGTCAGTGAAGGAGGTTCGAATTACGCTTCACGTCCCAATTATCATCACGTTACTTTGAATAATTTGGATTAACATCGAAGATTATTTTGAGTCTGCAGTGGTCCGCTATTATATCCAACTACTCATCAAAGAATATTCACACAAACTTTATTACATTTGGTTATTAGCATACATGCAAGCAGATAGCTGACTTGAATGAATGAATGGCAGAGAAATATAATACATATCAAGAATCATTATGTAAGCTACCTATACATACATTCAATGTTTTATGTAATATCATCTTTCTTTTTTATATAAATGAGGATAAGGAAATAGCAATTTTTATGTGGAGGGCTATTCAATATAAAATAGCAAAAGTCATCAATCAAATAATGAGTCAGTAAGCAAATAAGAAAATTAATAGGTGAGATATTTTACTGGAATATATATGGATTCATAAACTTTGCAATTGTTTGGGTTACTAAGTTATAGTTTCGAAAAAATTTTTAGTAAATTAACAAAAATGATTTTGTATATTATTATAATAATTCCGATTTTATGAACTGATTGATCAATAAAAATTTTTTGATAACTATTGTGGTTTGTTATTTGATTCATGTCTTCGGTTGATATTCGATTAGCATGATATATTTTGTGGAAAGTTTTCCAAAAATAAAAAAATCGGCCAAAATGCCAACCCTGTGTTAATCCTAGCTCACAAACAAGATATCATCATTAGATTCGTCTCGACTATACGAATCGAATGATGATATCTTGTTTGTGAGCTAGGATTAACACAGGGTTGGCATTTTGGCCGATTTTTTTATTTTTGGCCGTAAATTACTATAATTTGGAGATGCGTACCCACGTGACAACATGGGTATTACAATTAAAGGTTGATTTTTAAATTAGGGTTAGGTTGGGGTTAGAGTGGATGACAAAATTATATGTAAAATTATCTTCCCAACATTTTTTAATAATGCTCCAAGATAGATTTAAGCATCCGCTTTTCGTATTTTTTCATTTTTTCGTTCGCGCTTCGGATTTGTTTTGCCGGGTTGATCAAAAATTTACGCATCTTTATTGGTTTATGTTCGGACTGATCACCGAAGGTACAACGCTTTAACGCATCCCAATATTTGGAAATTTGGCTAAAAATTGGCCAAAATGCCAACCATGAATTAACGTTAAGAGAATTTAGTGTTCCCAATGATTAGATTTATTAGATTTGTCCTTAACGTTAAATTAAAAAAAAAAAAATGAAAAAACAAATCTGGTAATTATGCAGGCAAATCGAGATGATCAGACATGACAAAAATCAATCGTGAAACCTATTTTGTATTAAAAGATAGATCGAGATGATCAGACATGACAAAAATCAATCGTGAAACCTATTTTGTATTAAAAGATAGATCGAGATGATTCTTCCATCTCGTGTGTATGCTAAATTGTCGAAAGATCTAAATAAAAATATCCGTTTGACTTTTCCACTTTGACGAGGTATACGTAAACGTGGATGAATAGTATAGAATTTCAGGTGTTTCCTAAAAATGGCGCCTGCCGTGATGCAGCTGCAGAACTTGATTATTTAATTTCCCGAATGAAAAAACTCATGGTTGAACGTACGGTTGTCTGATGCATCCTGCCTGCTACTACACATTCTGTCTAAACAAAAAATAAATAAATAGATGTAAAAACTGTTCGAATTTTCAATTGTTAGATGTTAAAGATAGTAGAAAACTTGATTCATTGGTTGTTAAGTATAAATCTCCCGAAGACTTGAAGGAATTGATTGATTTAGATTTGCCGAGTCGTGGTATCGGTGTTGAGGGTTTGTGATGTTCGAAAGTTTTTCTTTATTTAAATGGTGAATCGACCGAATTTCTATACTTAATTTTTTAAATTTTCGTAGGAATTATGCCATTTGTGCAAAATATTCTACGTTATAGCGTGAACACATGGAATCCGCGATTCATGGATAAATTATACGCTGGAACTAATCCAGTAGGAATAATATCAGAAATGTTGATTGCAATCTTAAACGCCAATGCTCACGTTTATCACGTCTCTCCTGTCCTTACGTTGATGGAGATTACCGTTTCCGAAAAACTTGCCAAATTATTAGGAATGGGAGAGGAGGTATATATGAAAATTTCCTTGACTTTTGTTATACAGATTGTACCATTTCTATGCTATTTTATTAGCGCGTAAATATCAATCAATTATATTAAGAACTATTAAATATCTGTGGTGAAGAAATGTGGGGGTATAACATGTGCCGGAGGATCTTTTTCCAACCAACTAGCAATGATTACAGCTCGTAATCATTTATTCCCGGAAATAAAAACGAAAGGTTATTCTTTTCTTGGAAAAAGGCTCACAGTTTTCACTTCTAGTGCTGGTCATTATTCGGTCGAAAAAACCGCAATGACACTTGGCTTGGGTTCTGATAGCGTGATCACTGTATCTTGTGACGAACAAGGTAGAATGAGATCCGATGAACTCGGTGAGTTTGTTCATTTCAATTTGTGATTCGATGTATAAATGCGCTTTTTTTAAGATGTCTTTCAATGTCAACATCTTATTCGAGTTTGAATATTAATTTTCTTATATAGAGCTCCTCATCAAGGCATCTATTGAAAGAGGCGAAACACCATTTTTTATCAATGCTACTGCCGGCACTACCGTTTTAGTAAGTTAAAATAATAGAAAATAATTTTAATTATGTTATATTTATATTTTGATCGTTACACATAGGGTGCATTTGACCCACTTCGAGCAATTGGTAAAATAGCCAAACGTTATAATCTCTGGTTTCATATTGATGGCTCTTGGGGTGGAAATTTAATATTCTCTGAGAGAAGACGTTATTTGCTGGATGGATCAGAATTGGTTTTTTGATCATTTCATTTTGTATTGTCAATAATATTATTTTGATTATTATCTAACAGTAATTACTTTTATTAGGCTGACACGTTTACACTAAATCCACATAAAATGCTTGGCACACCTTTACAGTGCTCTTTCCTTTTGGCTCGCGATCGTCAAATTTTTGTGCAATCGAATGCACTGGAAGCTGGATATCTTTTTCATGAAAATAAGTATGATTTAGGGGATGGTACTGTAGGATGCGGAAGGCGACCCGATGCTGTGAAATTATTTTTAGGATGGAAATTTTACGGGATGGAAGGATATAAAGAGAGGATCGAACACGCTTTCAAAATGGCGCATTATTTAACGTCACTAACAATAAAAAACCGTCATTTCCGACTCGTTTTATCCCCACCACCCACGCTACAAATATGCTTCTGGTACATCCCAAAAGATTTTCCCGTGGAACTTGAACACACAGACTATCACACGTACAAACAGAAACTATCAGCAATCACTAAAGAGATTCATCAACGCGTTTCTCAAACCGGGAAATTTATGATTGATTATGCGCCGTTGAAATCAGCGGCTCGCGAATTGCCCGTGTTTTTTCGTGTGGTGGTTAACGCGCCTACAGTTAATGAAAGACATTTAGAAGAATTGATAGATGAGATTGAGGCAAAAGGAGAAGGTGTATTGGAGTGGTTGGAGAATAGAGATAATGAAGTAATAAGTGATCCCACTGCGTATACTAATAATAATAATAATAATTCATTCAAGGTATTCGGTGATGTTAATGGCATAGTGAATGTAGGGATAAAAGTAAATGGATGTAAACGGAAGTAATCAAAATCATTATCATAATAGTCGTTTTCAATAATTTATTCCAATCTCTAGATTCTATTTTATTCATTAGGTTAATAGATGAATCTGCTTAAATTTAAGTGCGCGTTGGGTTGGGGTTATATGTTTAAACAATCTTTTTAACTCCTCAATTTCATTGGTTTCATATAACTCATACCTGCATATCAGTGACATAGCATTGAGATTTGACTATAAAATACTCAAATAATTATTATTAATAATTAATAAGTATTTTCATACTTTTTATTAGTTATATTTTAAAATTTTTAAAAAAATTGTTAATTCTAATAGAATATATGCTAAAAAATCTTTTTTATTATAAAATTTTTTTGATTTTATAATCTTAAAACTATTAAATTAATAACTAATTTTTAAAAAATTATTGATTTGCTAAAAAAATATTTTACAATAATATAATTAGTTGAATAATTCAATTAGTTGGATAATTCGAATTACTTATATTGTTATGATATGAATATTTAGTTCTTATTTTATTGGTTAATTCATATTATAAATTTAATTGGATAATATTCTATTATATTCTATTGGTTAATTTCATATTTATATTTTATTGGATAGTTATTTTTAGATAGTGATCACTTCAAATGATCATTCCAAATGATCATTCCAACTGATCATCTCAAGCGCTCTAAATGATCATTGCAAATGATCATTCCAAATGATCATTTTATAATTATCAAATACTTATAAATACAGCTTGTATCTTAGCTTAGATTCAATAGCTTAGCAATAGTTCTATAATTCTATAGCTCTCAAGACCTCAAGAATAATAAATAATAATTAAAAACATGTAAT